CCTCCTAGGCTGGCTGAAAGGAGTGTATTCAAAACAACACAGAGATACTGAAGATGCCTCTGGATGAGCTATCAAACATCAGAAGTTGCAATCGCTGTGACGTGACATGGCTTTGCTGGTTCCCCGTGTAGTAGCCATCCCATTCAGCTCTTACCCGTTTTTTTCCTGTATGATGTTGCTTGTGTGGTATGAATATACACACAGACCATATCTATATCCCAGTGAACTGGGTGCAGAGTGTTTCTCTTAAGCGGATTTTAGCTCAAGCTGACTCCATGACAGTGCCTGATGCCATTTACATTCATAATGTCTCTCTGGTAGATTCACGCAGCAGATAGGTTGTTCATGAATCTTTAGTTTTATGAAAAAACCTCAGTGGTGGCTTTTTCCCTGATTTTCTCCATCTTATACTTTTTCTTGTGAAAAGGAAAGTACAAAGGCCTTGGTCTGTGGATGATTAATTACTCTATAACAAAGCAGCTGTGGAGCCTGACAAGATTGCACTAAGATTACAGTCTTAAAATAGTGGATGGACTTGATGTTTTTCCTTCCAACCATCTTACAGTTGTTGTCATAAGAATGAATGATAATTGCATTGCTCTGTATTGTCACTGCATTTCTTGTCGTATGAATGGGTTCATTTAGTGCCACCATCTTGGGCTGTTATGAAAATGAGGCATCTGAACTTAAGACTGTTACATCTTTTCCTCTCTGATCAAGAGCCAAATCCCAGGGTCCAAGCACAGATTCTTAAGTAAATGCTTTACGTACTATATTTGTATCATGTGGTTGCAAGCTTTACAAATATCCTGCTGGGTTTGCCCATTAATTTTTCGTATACTAGAAAAATATGTGTAAGTTTATATATTTCAGGATAAAAAGGGATTGACCCTAAAAGGAGAGAGTAGCAGAGTTAGGAGTAGAGCTGAAGTCTTCCATTTTTGAATGCCATAGTCAGTCGACTAATTTTTTTTTTTTTTTTCAATAAAGATACTGTGCAGAATATTTTGGCTTTGGGACAAGAGGTAAGAAATTCTCGTTGTTGGCAGTCACCAGGCACGTAGCTGCTTGAAGGTTCTTCAGAGATCCAGAAGATCTGTTTTACTATAGGCAGTAACTGAATTAACTAACAGCTAGGTGGTTGAGTAAATCTACATATGAAATCTAGACAAAATAACAAAAACACTAGTAAAGAAAAATGTCTCAAATTTGTTCAGTTAAGCATTAATCGTCAAATATAGACTACTGGATATTTTTTTTTTTTAGTCAAAATGTACAAATTGACACTAACCCTAAAATCAGCTTTATGCAGAAAGCTTGACAGAGAGATTCATCCTGATGTAGTAAGCACAGCTCCACTGAGATCAATGGTGATATTTAAACTGAGAATAGGACTCAGTTTTCTAATTTGCCAGCAGCATATGAAATGATCATTTATGCTGGCACTCTAGTGAGATATGAATAGGAAGACCAGTATAAAAATTACAAAGCAAAGTTTAGTTCCCACTTGAAAGGTGGTTCATTTAGTTTGCTTTGCTTTGCAGTTTGGTTGCGTTCATATACACACACTGAACCATACTCAAAAGAGGTCAAGGTTACCTGTTTCTTTGTGTGGCACTCTCTGTTCACCGATTTCTTGGTTTTCTCTGGAAAGCATGCTTTCTTTTGACCCCAGAAGACCTCTTTCCTTGATAGGCTTTGATTTATTTTCTCTGTTCTTCTAGCCCTCTGTAACTCTGATTCCCCTGTGCCCTTGATTATCTGTAGACACTGATTATGAAATTATTTATCTTCGGTACAGGTAAAGGGATGTGTATTACCTGCAACTTATATGGCTGAAAATGAGGTAATAGTAACCAAAGAATATATGAATAACTAGATGAAGGCCAGACTGATGATTATATGGTCTTTCACACACACCTTTGTGTAAGCGTATATTGACCATAACGTCTGTATGTCGCAAAATCTGTGCTTGAAATTAATTGGTGCTTTCCCTGGATCTGTGTTTCTCTCAGGACAGATATCAGTGGATGGATTTATGCGATATCTGAGTGGAGAAGAAAACGGTGTTGTTGCACCTGAGAAACTGGATTTAAACGAAGATATGTCTCAACCGCTGTCACACTATTTCATCAATTCCTCACACAACACCTACCTCACAGGTACAGTGTTGGAGAGATCTGATTTCTTATCTTAACAAAAATTCGTAGCATGTTTGCAGTGATACCATGAAATACACCACAAGCATCAGCAGTAACTGATGATGGAGCTTAGTCTTCAGGGAAGCAAGAGTAGCACTTGATTGTTGTTCTAGCTGCCGCACACATACATCGAATATACTCTTGCTAACAGGTGAGCAGCAGCTGCGTTGTTCGGATAAGGTCTGGTCTGAAGCCCAGTAAAGTCCCTGGAAAGTTTCCCTCAACTTAGATAGGATTCCAGATTAAGGCCCTTATTTGGGGAGGAGAGGGAACGATGTACTTTTTATGGCAACCAAGGATAGCCAAACAAGTATGTGAAGCAGAATATGGGAAACATCTCTGTAGCTAATAAATTTGGCCCTAAACATTAAATCTTGACAGTTTGTTGAGCTCCATGAAATTTGCTTTGATTTGGAGATTAGAGAGGTCCCAAAATGGCACATAGCTTTCTGACAGTCCATTCATATCTGCGAGGAATGGAAATCTGGTCTCCGACTATATCTAATGTCTGAGCTGAAATTTTTAGGTGCTGTCATGTTTTTGAAAAGGCTGAGCACCCAGAAGCTCCTGTTAGTTTGAATTAGAGTTAATGAGTCTGAACTGTATTGTCTGCACAGCAAAGTCAACAATGCTTTAAGATTCAAAAAAAAAAAAAAGATAGTTTAGGAACCCAACTTTTGGCATTGGTTTTCTAGTCTAAGAAGGTGTTAACTTGTGAGAAAATAATTGTAAATTCACAATTTTAGTTTAGTTTATGTAAGAACAAACATTTTTGGCAAGCAGATGTGCACAGGGTGTTCTCTTCTATTTGATTTGATGTTTGCTTTGTCTTGTCATGTTTGCTAATGTCTTAGCATTATGTAAAAAAAAAAAAAAATAGTGCTACAGTGCTTGCTAAAAATGTGGCTCATGGATAATGTAGGCTTTTCAATGTTATTAACAGACTTGCCTTGACCGACCAAGTTCTTCAGAATGCCAGTATGCCAAAACATAAAACAAACCATGCAGTGGTGATGCTCAGTTTAAACAGACCATGTGGTAGTTACTTTCATCTGTTTTCTCTTTGTTATAGCACTTTCTACAGCACCTTCTAGTGCTTTCATAAAGTGAATGAACTGTCATTGTTTCCATTAGACACCATTTTTCAGAGGTTTATATCTTGGCTGTAAAATGTGTTTTGTGCTAAAACTTGTCATGTAGGTATTTGGCTTGACAGCTATTTTGTTTCTCCAAATTAAAAGAAATGAAAATCAGTGTGGCCACTTTTAAGTTATGATTCCAATATGCAGAAATTTATGCTCTTTGGAAGAGTGCAGACATGTCCAAAGCAAAAGCAGTTTTTAATTATGATATTTTGCAGGCCTCTTACCTCCAGTGTGGACTTTGTTCTGTCAGTGAGGATTAGTACCCACTTAAGCCAAATGCTGCAGCGTTATACAGATTTTCTGGAAGAAAACATTAAAGCTGTTGTACAAATGTGGGAAGCACAAGTCCACAGGGAGGACAGACGGTCCAGTTTAAAGTTGGTCTGAAGAGATAAAATACTGCTCTCCCCTCTACCAGCATGAATTTATAGCCAGTACCATGCCACAGACTTTTATCAGGGCTGATCAGGACAGAGTCATGTTCTAAAGGTCTAGAAGCACAGAAGCCAAAGAACAAAGAATTAAGGATGGAAATTCATGATTGGTCCAACCCATTCTAAATTTTAAACTGCACAACAAGTGACCTAACATACTTGATTATTTTAGGAGAAAGAAAGTTTACCTTGAAACTTTCCAAATGGGGTTTGATTGTACGTGAAGGTCTGCAAATCATCTCAGATTGCATCTACAGATTTCTTTGCCTGCATTTCTAAATAATTTCAGAAACTACATTTGGAAGTATGATCCTCAGTCTTAATTTAACATAATATTCCTAGCTTAGTAAATTGGGAGGAGTAAATCAGAGTAGACTCGGGGGATAGTGCAAAAGAAGTTTTAGTCCCTTTCAAATTCCATTTCTGAGTGTGTATTTTCACATTTAGAGGCACAAAAAACATGCCCTTCCCTTTTAGTGGGTTCATTATGTTCAGTAAATGTGTGGCAGCTGGCTGACAATGGGATTAATGATGTGATTTTTATCTGTGTGTTACAAAAACTGACAGCCTTAGATTTTTGCTTTGAGGCTAGACCAGATACAGCAATCACATTGCCATTTGCTTTGTTCCAACAAGGACTTCGTAGCTGAAACCTGTAAAATTAGTGGTGTCAGACTATTCTTTTTCCCAAGAAGATTTCGAAGAGTCTGCTCAAGTGCTCATGGCTTCGGAAAGGAAGCTTTGGTAGCACCTCTGCCCTCGTTGGACCTGTGAAATAGCAACTAGTCATGTAATAATTATTAGGACAATAGGAAAACAGTTCAGTCTAGCAAGACTTTATGATTACTGTGCTTAATGCCCTACCAATTATCTCTCCCTTTGTTAGTTTTTTAAACCCCGAAAAAGCATGCAGAAAGAAACGACATTATAACATAAAAAGAAACATGTGCACACTCTGAATTTATTTTTAATTACCCTGATCATTTTCCTAGCCTTTAGTAGAAAGCCTTGGCAGTACATCAAGTCCTGATTATTTATTTAGAAGTGTTACTGCTTTCTTTTTCTTAGGGAAGTGTAATTTTTAAGAACAAAGGTAAAAATCCTTGAAGAAAGAAGTGATTTATAGTAAACCTAGGCTAGCTTAAAGAAATGTCATCTTTTGGAAACTTTTTTTTACTGTCATCTTTTTTCTCACTGGTATCATATGTATTTATTTACTCCTTTGAACCCTTAATGTGCAACCCTGCTTTTTTCTGGTTTCTCAACCAGTCTCACATCAGGTTACTGCTGGTGTTGCAGCCGGGAGTGACTTTGCAGCATTTCTCTCAGCAGCACCCAAAGTCAAAGACAAATGATTGCCAATCAGCAGCAGCATTGCACACTTTGATGGCTATGCAACTTGCTGTTGTATATGTGAAATGCAAAATATGAAAATCACAAGCCTTTAATGCATGTTTTGTCTTTGGCTAAAAGGAAAAGTTATAGCAGCAGAAGGTTGCAGGGCTATCAGTTCAGCGCATATAGCCAGTGTGGGGCTATACAACTCACCCTAAACACCTGCTTCCCTGCTTACAATCCAGTACTTTCAGTTGTTTCTAGAAAAATATCTCGAGGGGCATGTTTTCTTCTTCTTTATCGCTGCTATGGCCTCTCCGCCACCATCCTCCAGCTTTTCTGTTCTCAGCAATTCCTCAGTCCTAACTGTTGCTGCTTATTATCTGCATTCAACACTTCCTCAAAGCCGCCTTCACCTTCAAAGCTTCCAAGACGGTATCTTCACAGTTTCCAAGATGACAGCACCATATGAAAGGGAAGGAAAGGTGGGCAATGCCTGCTCTGAGCATGAGTTTGTCGTATCACCAAGAGCAGGTTTTGGCTGGCTGCTTCGTGCCTCTCGAGCTGCGCTGAGCCCAGGTGATCGGCTGGCAAGACCCAAGGCTCTGCTCTCTTCCAGCCCCACCATGTCCTTAGCAAAGGACTAGAGGGTAGGAGAGCTGCAGGAGCTCTTGCAGCAGAGAGAAGCTGCGCTGAGGAGGAGCCATAGCTGTTCTCCCACCAGCAGATGCAGCTAATCCTGTCCAGCAATCTAAGGCAGATAAATGAGGTGCTTCCTGGTGCTGGGGTCATGGTTTCTTTTAGCACAAGGGCTAATGGGTAAAATGGAGGAGTAGTGGTTATTGTGCAGCTCTGCCATCCATCAGCAGTTTCTGGGGGTATTTTTTTACCATCCAGCTGTCATTATTTTTTATGATTCCCCTTCAGAATATCATAAAAGCTTCTGCAACACTGAGGAAAAGGGCTGAATTTTCAGAGATGAAGTTAATTTGAGCATGATGACTTCACCTCACAGGAAGGAAGCTATAGACCACTCTCTGCTCCCTGTGGCCAATTCAGTGCAACTGTGGAAGCAGCTTCCACAGCTATATTGTTGGATTGACATAGCCATTGAAAAAAATAAATCAGCGGAGGGAAAGCTGCTGTTGCTTCACAAAGTGGAAAGACAATCTGTGTGGAAGGTCTTAGGTGGAGCTTTCCAAGATACCAATTCAGTGCCCTGCTCTCAAAATAGATTCTATCTGTAAAAAATAGCCTGTATAAAAAAAAAAGTCCTGTATATAAAAAATAGCTTCAATAAGATGGTGATTCCCATCTGCCTGACTCTCTCTTGCTTCTTCCTCTGAGGCGGTTTGGCTTGTGAGAAGATGACTACTCAATTAAGCAGACTCTGAGTGAAAATTCCTTGGGTCTCCTGCTCTGTCATGTTTTACATGACTGCTCTAATTTTAACAGCTGATTGTTCCTACTAGCACTGTTAAACCTCAGTTCATCTTTTTGTTGTCCTAAGGGGTACCTGTCCCCACTTACCTTCTTCACCCATGCCAGTTCCCTCTTTCTGAAGCCGTATTCTATGTGAGGGAGTTTCTACTTTTAAAAGTGAGCGGACACCTTGTAAAAAGGAGAGAAAAAATCATATAGATTGTCTCCTGAGGGCAAAATTAATTATCCTAATAGAGATCAGCAGCTGACACCAAAATTTCTAGAGGCAGTTTGCCTCCAGTAGCAGCAGAGATGAACATAGAGAGTTAGGAAAAAAATATTGCTTGGTCAGATCTGGGATACTGGATTCTCAAGAAGGAAGAGAAAAGTCAAGCTCATGAAAGTGTTTTGTTTCCTTTAAGTAATATTTCATTCACTGCTGCGTAGTGGGTTTTCAGGCTCCTCTGAGCATTCTCTTATTTGCCCCTTTAGGCCAACCAGTTGAAGCATATTGAAATAAGAGATAAGTTATTTTCTAAACCCCCCTCTTTAAGGAGGCTAAAACTGTGTTGAGGATTGGGTAACATCTCTGACTCCAGCAGCAGCATTTGAAGATCTCAAATAGCTGCGATCTGTAAGAGGAAGATAGAGAGGGCCGGCAGCAGGGGAGGGGCTCTGTAACCAGGTCCCAGTAGGTCCCACTCCCTCACTGTAGTTGGAGATGCTCAGCTGGTCATGCAGCGCGTCTTTCTCAAGTGGGTCCCACACCTAGGAGGAGGGTTGCCCCATGCACCCCGTGCTGGTTACTCTGACAGACATAGTGTCCGTCACGTAGCCTGGCTGCAGCGTGGGAGCTGCCTGGGCAGTGCTAGCGGCTGCGCCGAAATGCAAACTCAGTGGCTGGCCAGCCTCAGCCCTCCTGGCGTACGCAAGTGTTGCATCTTCTGCTTGGGTGGGCCTGAATCGATCCTGACAGCGAGTGTATTCATGCTGCTGGCTGGAGCAAGCCTGACCGCATGTCCTGCTTTAATGTCCTGTTAAAAATAACAGCCATAGGACGAGAGCCTTATTTTGACTTGCATACAGGCAGTAGCAGAATATGCCACAGCGAGGGGTCTAATTCGCTTGTCCTGTGCATGGCAAAATAGCTCGGAAGAAAAATAAATTCAGATAAATCTACTGTGTCTAAAAAAATCTTAGCCGCCAGCACCTTCTGTTGCTGCTGGAGTCAAGAGCCAGACTCCCAGCAGTACGAGGGTCTGAGTTTGCACACTGCAAGCTACAGAGCATGATCCAGAGCACTGGTTGCTTTTCCAGGACTTGCCCAAAGAGAGGAGGTTTAGCAACTCATGTTTGTGCATGGCAAAGGGGGTGTACAGGCACTTCTTCATGCCAGGAGAAGGTGGTGCCACGGGTGGGCGAGAGGGCAGAAGCAGCCTCTGTTTCTAGAGTAGTGAAGAGTCAGGTGACTCCAAATACCTGGATCCAAATGTCCCTCAGTTTTAGGAAGATACGTGTCATAAACTCATAAACAAATTTTAAGTCCATGTATTAGACATTTTGGAAGGATTCCTGCTAAGGATAAAAGGATATTCAACCTCCAAAACACTCCAAGTGCGAATAACTTACACTTGGAAAAACAGTGATGAATGAACCCAACAAGGGTGCACTTGCTGAGAAATGAGCAGCTTAAAGTTATAGAAGCGTGGAGCTGATCTGTATGGGGAAACTTGGGTGATATCCTCGGCTTATATCAATTAGCAGAGGCTCATTTTGCTTAGGGTCCTGTCAGGTAGGATTTGGCTGATTATGTTTTTAGAAAAGCAAGTTTTTGTCAAAGTCTGTTTCTCGTTATCCAATACAGGGTGATAGGATACAAATATTATGGTATTACTGTAGATGCTGTATGTATTACAGAAGGGAATACATAATGCTTTCAATTTTCAGTATTAAAAAATTGATCTGTACTCAGGGTTTTAAAAATACCATACTGGAAGTGTTCCCTTTAGTGTCTGTGTTACCACATTTTAGAATGCATTGGCTAAAGGGATAGTTTGGAACAGATGCAAACAGAGACTCACACAACAGACGTTTATAAATAATATATACAAAAAAACATTTGAGGGAACATTCCTAATAGTCCATATTTCAGAAAAATAAGCTATTGAAACTATTAAAAAATTTGCTAGCATTTTGCACTCTGACTGGGAGCCTTTCTGAAGATTGAATGTTTTGGAGGTTGAATATCCTCTTATCCTTAGCAGGAATCCTTCCAAAATGTCTAAGCCTTTTTAATAAGGTAGTGTGGAGAAGTGTCATATGGCAAGCAATGCATGTCATGATTTAGTAAAGCACTTTTAAAGGTTAAGGATCTTGTAGTCCAAAATGCTTAGCAATATTAATGGCCAGTAGTCTCTCAGGAAGTGTAGTGGAGTTTGTTAATCATAAAATAGATTGTTAATCCAAATTCAATATGCTTTGAGGGAAAAGAAAGACAACATGGAAACAGTTTTCTAAGTGAATGTAGGTTTTTTTAGGCAGCGGAGTTCAGTGGATCCGTATAATGAGAGCCAGTTTTTCATAAGCAGATGCTTGGGGCGAGTACCCAGAAATGTGTGCTGTTGCACCCTGACCCACGCTCGTGCTTGTTTGCATCCTGCAAAGAAAAAGAGCCGCTGCTTACCCCAGACACTGGGACTGCACCAAAAAGGCTTTTGTGTGAGTAAAGATAACCTGCCGTAATCAAAGGGGAAACACAGGAAAAAGATACGTAAAAAAAGAGAGACGCATTGTCACTTTGCTGACTCCGTTTGGCATTTCAGAACCTTCCAGCACTGGCCAGATTCTTCTGTTATTAACATATATTTCCCATTGGTTCCAGCAGAGCTAAGAAATCTTAGGGATTTCAACAGGCGTAATGTTAATACCTTGTGGAGTATTTATGATTGCTCCAGCTCATGTATCAGACACAAACAGTAAACAGGAATTTTCAAATAGAAGGGTTTTTCTGTTACAGTTTTTAGTGGAAGGTAAAAACACAGAGAAAACAGACAATGCTATTTAGTGGAGCAAACCCCAAAATGTCTCTTTCCCAGCGTAAAACCTGAACACAGAACCACAGAGACAATAAAACAAGGATTAGAGTAATCTGCATTATATTATATGCCAGTCTGGATGAAGTATTTATATGTCCCCCATCAGCAAAGAATCTTTAGTGTAAATGAACTCACTGCCTCCTTAAAAAGCAAGTGAATTCCCTTCAAGGAATCCGGGAGGGTCTTCTTGGGAAGTCTGCTAGAAAGTAGGAAACTGCATCCATTTTCTTCACATCTAAAACAAGCGCTAAGCCACTCTTCCATTACCTTTACCTCTCTGCTGCAAGAAATTTGTATCCATATGACTGGAATCAAACCTGTTGCAGCAGGTGAAGATACCCGGGCTGGATATCCTTCCCTGAATGCAACTGGACTTCTTTGTTGGTCTGGGGAGATTTTTGTGGGGTGGTTTGTTTTGGTTTTGGGTTTTTTTTTTAATACTTCCTGAGTTTGGGAAAAGCGGAGTTTTCCTTGTTTATTTTTAGATTATAATTATGTCACTGTTGGAAACTGGTAGTTTAATTAAATTTCTCCCTACATAATGCGGTATCACATCAGGAAATTTAACTGACCAACTCAGTGCAGTGATTAGTGTGTTAAATATTGATTTGAGACCTAGTAATGGTACCATTAGTGACTGTGCAGGAGGTTTGTTTTATCTTGTACTAAACTCTATTGCATGTTATAAGAAAATGTGATCTTGCTGTCCTGAGTCACCTCTGAATTTCACGTTGCTTGTCAAAGGATAACAAAGTCTTCTAGGACTAAGCCATTTTATTTTATTTTATTTTACGTTATTTTATTTTATGTATTTGACACTGTCTATCAGAAATTTTTGATTGGCTTCAGTTCAGTTATTTCTCCTCACTCATAGCAATTTAACTGAGGGCAGAAGCCAAACCATGACATTGACTCTGCCTAAGTTATTTCCATTACGTTCTTATGCTTTTTGTATGCCTTTGAGTGTTATTCCTCTCAGCCGAGGGTAAAAGATGCTGTTAACTGTAATTATTATTAGATTATTTGTATTTATTCCCGAGGCCCAAAATGACTTCCCTTTTTTCATGTTCTTGTGCTCTCGCAGCTGGACAGCTGGCCGGTAACTCATCGGTGGAGATGTATCGGCAAGTGCTTTTGTCAGGCTGCCGCTGTGTGGAGCTGGACTGCTGGAAAGGACGAACAGCCGAAGAAGAGCCGGTCATTACACATGGATTCACTATGACAACTGAAATATCCTTCAAGGTACAGCAACAGAGCACACTGGTGTAGTTGGCTTTAGCTGGGGTGGTTTCTTTCATGTAAAATGCGTCACAAATACATGGTGAGAATATGACTGCAAAGGTGGAAGGGAAGAGGAATGAGAGAGCAAAAAAACGTTTTAAGAGGAGATTTCAGAGCACGTGCAGAATCATTGGAAGAGAAGAGTTGCAGTATTTGGACCTTGCACAGGAAGCGTTTCTTGGCGATTGATCGTGGCAGAGGAAAAGGGATTATATGGTGTAATAGTCCGTGCCATCTGGGGACTGGGCTCAGTGCCCAGGTCCATACTCCTGTGGATGTCCCGGCAGCAAATCTCACGGAGGGGGAGAAATGGGGTAGACCACAGCCAGGGCTGAAGGACCAGGTATTGCCATCACGACTGGTTTTACACAGTGTAAAACAGGTCTGCAGATGGGTCTGGAGCCAGGAGGATGGGGAGGAAGGACTGGTTTGTGTTACAGCTCCATAGCACGTGGCAGGGAGGAGAGCTGAGATTGAAGGCTGCAAGGATTTGAACAGCAATAAGCAATGTGTCAATATATTCTTTTTCTCTTCTCTGCCTGATAAGTGGGAGTGGAAGACAAAAGTGCTGAACTGACGTAGGAAACAGCAGCTATTGTGGAAATTTCTACAACTTACAAGCATTTAAATTCCTATGAGCAGAGACCAGGCTACTCAGGCCCAGTTGGGCAGGTCTCATCCGCAGGGACCAGACACTCATCATTTTCTTAACTATTTAAAAAATGAGTAACGGTGCATGCAATGTTACCCTTATCCCTGATACTTGGGATTAGATTTGAAGCACTGGAGGATGAAAAAGAAAAATTGGTGTCTTTGGAGAGTGCGACAGGATATTTGTGCCATTCGAACCCTAAATATATCATCTGTATTTCTGAATTTCATCTTCCATTTCCTTTTTTTTATAATAAAAGGTAGATACTATACCCTTAGCAATAACCTTAAATTGTTATCTTGTTATTCTCAAAGATGTTTTTGATCCAAGGTGCTAGAGGAGCACGATGGAGGTGTTTTCCTACGTTCCTACAGTATTAAGATTGGTAGCCAGCACAGCTTATAATGATACAGCAGGATAGCATTTTTGAAGATGAAGAAACAATTCTTGTTCATCCGAGACATGAACTTGCTGTGGAAATAGTTTCTAGATTTCCCTGTGTGCAAGAAGACGTGGAAAAATATTCACTACTGAATTTGGTTATGTTACAGGTGTCAGGTGTGGCTTCTCTACTAGCTATAGATTTGAAGCATGTTTCCCATACCTGAAGCATGAGTTTGGGGGGTTTTTTTGTCTTCTAGTTACCTTCCTTTAGGAAAAAAAAGCAAACAATACTGCCACACAGACAAACCACCAAATTTCACTTGCACCAGAACACTCCTTTCTTTTTGCAGTGTGTTCTCTAACTCTTCACTGATTGAGTTATCTCAGGAAAACGCAAACACAACCTTCTTGCACGTTTGTTATTAACTTTACAATTATGTTTATATAAAACCAGTAACATTTATATGCATAGAGTTTGATTGCTGGAAGTCCTTTAATTAAGGAAGATAGCTCTCAACTCCTTTGGTCATGAGCAGGAATTCAAAACAAAGTTAATCTGATTCTTAAAAGGATCATTAGCAGGAAT